GCATGTACCCCGCAGGCTTCGTCGACTGCGTCGGGGGGACCTCTCCCCCTGCGACGACCTTGCCGACCTCGCCGGCGCCGCCAGCGTTTCCCGCCTCTGGTGCAGGTTCGGACCACCTCCCCCTCTTTCTCGCACGCGCTCCCTGGTGGCTGCCGCGCCCCGCAAGTCTCGCCGCCTGCGCGTGCCGAGCTCACCGCATGTGCCCGCTGGTCGCCAGGTGGGGAAATCAGTCGATGAGAGAGAGGGAAGGGGAAAAAGCAGGAGGTACGCACGCCGCCGGCGACGACGTCAGATGGCAGGAGGATGGAAGGTTTGGCGCCAACCGCTCCGGCCACACCAGCTCCGCCATGAACTCAGAGGAGGCACGCGGGTCACCGGAGAAAGAGATCGAGGCGGCGGTGGTCTTCACCGGAGGCGGAGAAGATGAAGTACTCCGGCGGCGCTGTCATAATCGAGTTTAATTTCATCCAAATCAGTCACTAGTGTTTTTTGTAAAGAATTAGTGAAAAAGTGGTAGTTTTCAGCACAAATTTGTAAAGTGGTAGTTTGTAGACACAGTTCCATGAATTGTGGTAGTTTTTTGTTAAATACTCCCGTGGTGAACACCAGGGGGAAAGCTTGCCGATACATACCTGTCCCTGTCCCTGGTGAGCAGGAGTTCGGTTTCATTCAGCTATCCCAAGAGATATTCACTCTTGGAGCCGACACTAGGGAGACATATCTTGCGTATGTGCCATTGTTCTCGGAGTTACAAGCTTTGCACATATGACACTAATATGTGATTGGTTCCATTATAACTAATGGATCCTAAATAGGAGTCATTGTTCTTGCCATGTAGCAATGGGCTTGGCATGCCTGCCTACTTTTCTTTGGAGCAATGTTGGTTCATTCTTGATCTAACTTGGTTATTGCTCCTAGGTCGCTATTCGAAATTGGAATGAACTACCTGCTTTATATACCCGCCTCTTCACAGAAATGGTTCTTCACGACAGTAGATCCATGTGTTGGGTTTCCATAGTATTTAAGCCAACATTCTAGGATGATCATTGGAAAAAGGCATGTCTCCTATGCTTATCATTGTAACTTAAATTTGGATCTTCTATTTGCAGCTGTGGAATGTGTAAGCATCTTGTTTACAGACCCAGTAAAGTATCACCTATCTGCTGTTCATATGATGTGAACTTAATTTTCTTTGCCTCTCGATACACTTTGGATAAAGACAAGTTCATTTCTTCCTTAGGTAACGAGCACGAGCTCAGTTTGCCACCATTGTTTAGAACCTTCCCGAGGTAACTTTTGTTCCGTCAGCCCTCTGTTTCTATGTACTACTTGTGTTCAAGATGAAATTTTTGGACACCCTGGAGCGTAAAGAAAAAAAGATCTGTTATAAATGAGCTTTATTTTTTATGAATTGGTAAATAACCTCCTATCTAAAATAGTAGATGAAAACATTACGATCAATTAACCTTAGGTGAACACACTGCAGCACCGAGTGAAAACTACATCCCTTGGTCAGTGATCATCGATCAAACCTTCCCGTGGAGAAAAATCTAATCAAACAACCAAATTTACTGAATCTTTGGTGACTATCATTTGAAGAAATTGCCGTGGAATCCCCTCGTAACTATTCAAATTCAATTTGCTAAACACGCCAGAAAAATTAAGCTACATATGTTTGACAGTCTCCTTATACATTCGTTTTGGTTACAAGCTTGTATCTTGTTGGTCGAGTCCACCGATACAGCAAGATTAAAATAGTGAAGATGCCTGTGCCTAACCATGTTGCTCTTAAGACAAGTGTGATGGTGCCCAACTCTTAACAGCAGCTAGAAGTTGCAGTTGGATGCAAGAATAAAGCGGTATGTATCATTTGGTGCAAGCAAGTTGTATTCAATTCAGTCTTATTTCAAAAACGAAAATTTTATTCTTCAGTTGTGAGGAAAAAGAATAATTCAACAAAGTCAACAGAATGATGTACTGACCCAGGACACTGTACCAGGTGAGAATTCTTTGGTTGGTCCCTTCTCGCGGACCGTGAATTCTTTCGAATTCAAAAGGACATTGACAGCCTAAGGACTCCTAGCCCCCTCGGTCGTTGGAGTGGAAGTATATTCATCCGAAACAGGAGGACGGGTTCGTAAAGAGCATGAACTGGGTAATGATTTTAGCCTTCCCGATAGGTTGCCAGGTGTCTTTTTCAACGGCTGTCTGCATTATCTCACCCACAAGCCTTCTATTGCCGTGGTGGACACCGAGGGGAATGCTCGCCGAAACATACCTGTCCCTGTCCCTGGTGAGCAGTGGTTTGGTTTCATTCAACTGTCCCAAGGACGTTTGCATTATGCCAATTTTGAGGTAGACCATGAAGACGAGGTGGTTCGACTAGTGGTTTACGTTCTTGGGGACTATGACAGGCAACAATGGACATTGAAGCATACCGCTGAAGCCTCACATGTAGTTGGATCACATGGTTTATATGAACCTGGATGGGTAAGTTATATTAATCTTGGAGAAAAGTTTGAGTGGGTTGCAATTCATCCAGACCTTAACATGATCTTTTACACTGTTGAGTGGGATAAAACATTGATGTCCTATGATATGGATCGTCGGCAAGTCCAAGAGATCTGCATTCTTGGAGAGGACACTCGTGAGACATATCTTCCGTATGTGCCATTGTTCTCAGAATCGCAAGCTTTGCACACATGACACCAATACTTGAGTGGTGCCTTTATAACAAATGGATCCTTGATAGGAGTCAATTCTTCTTGCCATGTAGCAGTGGGCTTGGCAAGTCTGCCTTCTTTTGTTTTTTTAGCAAAGTTGGTTCATTATAGAGCTAGCTTGGTTATTGCTCCAAGGTTGTTATTCAAACTTTGAACGAACTACCTGCTTTATGTACTTGCCTATTCATAGCAATGGTTCTCGACAACATGCACGTGTTGGATTTCCATAGTATTTAAGCAAAGATTCTAGGATCACCATCATGATTGGAAAAAGGCATGTCTCCTATGCATATCATTGTAACTTAAATTTGGATCTTCTATTTGCAGTTGTGGGATGTGTAAGCACCTTGTTGACAGGCCTAGTAAAATTATTACTTATTTCCTATTCATATGATGTGAGATTGATTTTGTTCACGTTTTCATACCCTTTGGATGAAGATAAGTTCATGTCTCCCCGAGGTTAACAAGCACGAGCTAAGTCCCACACCATTCTTTAGAACCTTCCCGTGGTAACTTCTCTTCCGTCAACCCTCAGTTCAAGATGAAATTTCTTGGACACCTCAGAGTGCAAAGGAAAAAAAGGTTGTAAACGAGCTTGAATTTCTATGAATTGATAAATAACTTCCTATCCAAAAATAGTAGATGAACATCATGATGAATTAACCTTGGCGGAAGATAGTGCAGTGCTGAGTAAACACTGCATACCTTTGTTAGTGATCATTGATCAAACCTTGTGTTGGAGAACAATCTGACCAAACAAGCAATTTTACTGAATCTTTGGAAACTACTATTTGAAGAACCCTTATCAAGGAACGCTCTGTAGACTATTCTATTTGGTTACCATTTAAAGAAAGAAACATCGGGCAGGAGGGAAAGTTAATGTGTGAAGAAACCGTTTTGTTAGACCGTATCGTTTGATCGCCAGTGGGAAGTATATATTCAATTGAAGCACCACATAATATACACGCAGAAAAGTGTGAATGATGTCAGAAAGAAAGTTGGCATGTTGCTTATAGAGTCAACTAACTTGGATATTGGACATGAGTAATTGAAGGCTGCGCTATGAATTTCCTCTTCAGTCTCTGCTTCAATGAGATCTTGAAATATCTCAAAAGTGGTTCCTGATTTGGTCGAGCGCAAGATGAAATAGAGAGAGAAGGGCCCTCTTACTAATGAAGAAATATAGAAAGAAAGGCCCTCTTCTTTAATAATTAAACTAAACAAAGTTGGTCGCTTGCAGAATAAACAAGAGAGAAGGGCCCTCTTACCAATGGAGAAGCAGCATTGTGGCGTTATAAGAGAAGACAGGAGATGATCTTCGGAAGGTGACACATTCTGACCTACTTTCTTCTCGGCTCCTCTTTAAGTTGTACATAGTTTGTCAGTCAGTTAAATTAAACTTTTAAGTGTTGTGGTTGCCATGTCTAGGGAGATCCTAAGTTTTCTCCTGCCGGGCATGCAGTTGAAAAGCAAGCAGAGAATAACATCCGAGCGGAAGATGGTGAGGTGGTGATCAGCGAGCGGATGATCTTTATGGCACATGTTTCCAAAGGTATAGTCTTAATTGCACACAACTCATATATTATTAACTAATGTACTATTGGTCTAAGTGATGGTCCAAATAAATCATCGTAATATATCTTGTAAACCCGGAATGAGATAGTACAATTTTTTTAACGAATCAACATCAACACTGGGTTATTAGTTATCACGATGCAGCGGGTCTGGCTTGAAGAGAAAATAAATAGATGTGAATCAAACGTTGGAGATAACGAGAATAAACAGATTTGAGTGCTAATGTGATGACATTGGTTTCTTAGCAAAAAGGCGCAAAAACCTCGCACTTTGGCACCTTTACTCCGTCACCCACTCCTCGTCCTCGTAGTCACTAGTCACCCGAGCCATCGGGCTCGCCGGCCGTCTTACTGGGCACACCATCTCCCTGACAGCCCTCCAGTTTCTTGCTGCAGTCATCACACTTGTCTGTGCAGGTCATGAGATTGGTCTTGAGCACGTCGATCTGTTTCCTCTCATTGAGCAATTCCATCTGTTAAAATAAATCTGAGGCATATCGTCGATCATACGAAGACCAATCAATCACACGAGCACGACACCGAGATTTGTTAACGAGGTTCACCGATATGGCTACATCCCCGGGGCCTGACTATGGACGCTCCTCCCCATGACACCGCCACACCGCACATCGGCCACCCGGGCGCCGGCACACGCCACCGGCTCCCCCTTGCACGCCTGTGCTATTATGTTGGCATAGGTTACATGGTGTGTCTACCTCCACTATATATGAGAGACCTAGGATACAAGTGTTCTACTAGGACACGACTCCATATCCTATCTAAACACAATACAACTACAAGTCCAACTGTAACCTACGTTGTAAACAATATTCGACACAATTCTAACAAACTCCCCCTTGGCGAATATTCTCCACCACCATGAATTCGTCAATGCGTCAAACTTCCATGTACATTGGACTTGAGCTTATCCCATGAGTACCGCTGCTACTCCAAAGACTCCATGTGACTCCACCTGCAACTTGTAGTCCCTCCTTTTCTTGACCACAGTCAACACTCGAGCCAAATTAAGTTCCTCTTTACTCTAGTGTATGCTCCCAACTTCCAGAGCTTCGTTCAACGCATCACACACTGACCACTGACCTGCGTGAAAATAAACAACTCACATATTGGGTGTCACACATAAGAGTTACCTGAACTCAACATCACTGCTCCTTTCTTAACCGCCTGTCTGAAACTTGAAGGAATTTCACCATTGCTTGTAGTCATCCTGATTTAAATTCGCAGTTGTCTCACCACATGTATGGCCACCAGAGCCCTGACCCATCTTCATGTCCCGTGCGTACCGCACGCCTCGCCGCTATTACCGCGTCGAGCCTCCGCTGTCCCGGTCGAGTCTCAAGGGTCGCGAAACCACACCACTCAACCCCCGCTGCAGAGTACCACCGATCATCACCGACCAATGACGAGTTTCATGCTTCCATCAGACCATTGGGCTCCAGTCCAAACTACGTGTCCCTCGCTTTTCCCGCTTTGCTGAATAGGCTTCGATTCCCTGGATCCTTACACCGTAGCCCCTCAATCCAGCTCCACCTTCAACATGACTCCATGGTAGATGATCAGTCACCCCCGCGCCCCGTCGACTTCAAGCTCTCATGCGTACGCCGTCTTGAATCAACCCCGCGCCATAGTCTCGTCGAAGCCACACAAGCCCTCAGGCCTGCGCCACGTGTTTCCACGCCCCAGAAGTCGGTCAGCATTAGCATCACGCTCCAATGTCGTTGTCGCCGATCCACCACCGTCTTTTGTTCCAACCGACTTGCGCCGATCCGTCAGACTGTCTAGTCCGACCCAGCCGAACTCGTTCGACTGTATGACACTCAAGGCTCCCAAATCGTCTTCGGCGAATTTCCATTCATCACATAATAATTCCATCACAGCTGACATGACTTTCCGCAACGCCTTCAAGCATCCATGTTGTGCCAACAAAACTTTTATCCGTGTCTGCCATAACCCAAGGTTTTCAGTTCCGTGGACTTCTCCACCTCAAACCTAATACCCGTTGGCGCCATGGTTCTTCGTACAGCTGACACTTTGAAAAAATATCCGAGTTTCCAACACGTGCTCAAGTACACAAAATGTAGTAGTAGCAAATTCCTACCAAAAATATTTCTTGTACTCACGTGTAGTAGCTCCCAGCTCAACTCCACATGTTGTTGTTGCTTTGTCACGATGCTCTCCAATGGACTGTCGTTTGTTGGACTTTTTTCGTTAGATGTGACCTGCCTCTCGCCGTGCCCACTTGAGGACTCGGTCCTCTTTTTTTCACAAAACAAATCTCTGGCGTGCATGGCTTCCTTAGGATCGATACATTGCCAGGGCCTCCGTTACGCGTCAGCGTGCTTTGCTATAGCCCGCTGCAAGCGCCCGTGTGTGGGCCACTGCCCGCACAATCCCTTTGCTCAGAGCGCCTGACCACCGCGCTGCACCCGTACGCGCCTCGGACGGGCCGACTTGTCCATCTTCCATCATCGCATCGAACTCGTCGAGACCGAGTCGATCGGCAGTGCCTCGACATGTCGCCTGCTCGATCCGACCTTGTCGGGAATTATGTATGCTCGCCCGATTGATCCACGTGATCAATCGCCGCACGTCTCGCGCTGCCAGGGATGCTCTCGCCGCCTGCCTATCGATCTGATCTACCATCACGCGCCTCGTGATCGCTTTTTTCAATCTCGCTGAGAACCACACCATAGCCGGCTGCATCTCAACTCGATACTTCCTCCAGATCAACAATCCACAACCTCCGGACAACCTAGCTCATGATACCACTTGTTAGAATAAATCCGAGGCATACCGTCGATCATCCGAGGACCAATCAATCACACAAGCACGACACCGAGATTTGTTAACGAGGTTCACCGATATGGCTACATCCCCGGGGCCTGACTATGGAGGCTCCTCCCCATAACACCGCCACAATACCGCAAATCGGCCACCCGGGCGCCGGCACACGCCACCGGCTCCCCCTTGCGCGCCTGTGCTATTATGTTGGCATAGGTTACATCGTGTGTCCACCCTCACTATATATGAGAGACCTAGGATACAAGTGTCCTACTAGGACACGACTCCATATCCTATCTAAACACAATACAACTACAAGTTCAACTGTAACCTACCTTGTACACAATATTCGACACAACTCTAACACCATCCTCAGCACAGCGACATGTGTCTTCTCGTACTGCAGCTCCATCGCTAGCTTATCGACCTGTGACTTCTGGGTGTGCGGCTCCATGGTCAGGTAATCCACCAGTTTCTTCTCGCTATGTAGCTTCATCGTCAGCTTATGGACCTGCATCTTCTTGTTTTGCAGCTCTGTCGTCAGGTGATCCACCCGTTTCTTCTCGCTCCGCAGTTCCTCGTTCAGCTTGTTGACCTGTTTTTCTTC